AGAGTGACGTCATCACTTAACTCATCAGGTGCAGTGATTAGAGGCGGAGGGGGGGGTAATGTAATTATATAATCGATTAGTAATCAGTCATTGGTTATGATTAGTAATGAGTTGTAGATTAGTAATTCTTTAAATCAAAATGTAATGTGTATTATTTAATAATACGCTTCCAGGCCGCACTGAGCCGGTAGCTGTCAGAGCGATTAAAGTTATTCTTGTTCCTCTCAATTTCAATGGATTCTCTAATTAGTCTTTGCCAGTAATAATTAGTTTTACACACCACTGCAACATTGTCAAAATCAATTGAGTGTCCTTGTTGACAAGCATGTTCTGCCACTGCCGACAGTTGTGTTTGAGATAATTTAATATTTCTCTGATGTTCTTTTAGTCTTACGCTGATGTTACGTCCCGTCTGCCCAATGTAGCAGCTGCCACATGAACAATTAATCCGATATACACCTTCTGTTGATAGTTTAGGTAATGCGTCTTTAGTGCAAGATACTAGTTTTTGAATTTTGTGTACTGTACCAAATCTTACTGTAATGTTTTGCTTTTGCAAAACGCGGGCTAATTTGTCAGTTACTCCTGAGATATATGGAATTTTTATTGTTTTAACAATCTGGTCGCTTTCAGTAGTATTGCTTTGCGATCGTGATTTGGCATTCAGTGCTCTGTTAATTTGAGCATTATTGTAGCCATTCTGTCGTAGTGCGTCTTTAACGTGTTTAATCTCTCTCACTAGACTCTCACCATCTGACACTGTTTTCGCCCGATGCACGAGCGTCTTAATAAGAGAGGATTTTTGAGCTGGATGATGATGTGATTCTGCATTCAGATAGGCATCAGTGTGCGTTTGCTTTCTGTAAACGCTGTGTGTTATTTTACCGTTTAGGCCATGTCCAAGCAAAATATCTAGGAATGGGAGTGTATTATTCACCTCCATTTCCATGGTGAACTGGATGGCCGGGTTTTGTGCATTGAGATGATTTAGAAAATCATTAAGTGTATCTTTACCATGTGGCCAGACAACCAAAGTGTCATCCACATACCTAAACCAAAAGGATGGTTTTAATGTGCTCGAGGCAAGTGCTCTTATTTCAAAGTTTTCCATGTACAAATTTGCTATAGCAGGGGATAAAGGAGAACCCATTGCTGCTCCTTCCTTTTGTTTAAAGAAATCCCCTCTCCATAATAGAATAGCAAAGTTCCAAAAGTAAATATTAGCTCTAACGAGGCAAAAGCCTTAAGAGAGCTGCGTGTAAATAAGGATATCCAAATCCTAGCAGCTGATAAAGGCCGCACTACTGTACTGATGTCACGAGCCGATTATGATAATAAAATTAGAAATTTACTAGAGGAAAGTACCTACATTAAAATTAAACGAGATCCAACTAATACTTTAGAACGTAAGACCACTGCAATAATTGCAAATTCATTAATCCCTAAAAATGAGCAATACCTAATTAAGCCAAGGGCCTCAAAACCACCTAGACTCTATGGGCTACCAAAGATTCATAAAATCGGCATCCCATTACGACCCATAGTCAGTACAATTGGCTCTGCCACATATCAATTAGCAAAATATATAACCAAACAAATACAGCCCTACATCGGTAAGACATCTTCATTCATAAAAAATTCAGAACATCTTGTGAATGTGATTAAAGATATTAAACTTACTCCTGATGATATTCTGGTAAGCTTTGATGTGATTTCTCTATTCACTAAGGTTCCAGTGGACGAATCGCTTAAATTACTTGATACACTAGTAAAGAATACCGGTTTACAAAAAGATATTCCGAAACTTGCTGGCCATTGCTTAAATAACACTTACTTCTTATGGAGAGGGGATTTCTTTAAACAAAAGGAAGGAGCAGCAATGGGTTCTCCTTTATCCCCTGCTATAGCAAATTTGTACATGGAAAACTTTGAAATAAGAGCACTTGCCTCGAGCACATTAAAACCATCCTTTTGGTTTAGGTATGTGGATGACACTTTGGTTGTCTGGCCACATGGTAAAGATACACTTAATGATTTTCTAAATCATCTCAATGCACAAAACCCGGCCATCCAGTTCACCATGGAAATGGAGGTGAATAATACACTCCCATTCCTAGATATTTTGCTTGGACATGGCCTAAACGGTAAAATAACACACAGCGTTTACAGAAAGCAAACGCACACTGATGCCTATCTGAATGCAGAATCACATCATCATCCAGCTCAAAAATCCTCTCTTATTAAGACGCTCGTGCATCGGGCGAAAACAGTGTCAGATGGTGAGAGTCTAGTGAGAGAGATTAAACACGTTAAAGACGCACTACGACAGAATGGCTACAATAATGCTCAAATTAACAGAGCACTGAATGCCAAATCACGATCGCAAAGCAATACTACTGAAAGCGACCAGATTGTTAAAACAATAAAAATTCCATATATCTCAGGAGTAACTGACAAATTAGCCCGCGTTTTGCAAAAGCAAAACATTACAGTAAGATTTGGTACAGTACACAAAATTCAAAAACTAGTATCTTGCACTAAAGACGCATTACCTAAACTATCAACAGAAGGTGTATATCGGATTAATTGTTCATGTGGCAGCTGCTACATTGGGCAGACGGGACGTAACATCAGCGTAAGACTAAAAGAACATCAGAGAAATATTAAATTATCTCAAACACAACTGTCGGCAGTGGCAGAACATGCTTGTCAACAAGGACACTCAATTGATTTTGACAATGTTGCAGTGGTGTGTAAAACTAATTATTACTGGCAAAGACTAATTAGAGAATCCATTGAAATTGAGAGGAACAAGAATAACTTTAATCGCTCTGACAGCTACCGGCTCAGTGCGGCCTGGAAGCGTATTATTAAATAATACACATTACATTTTGATTTAAAGAATTACTAATCTACAACTCATTACTAATCATAACCAATGACTGATTACTAATCGATTATATAATTACATTACCCCCCCCTCCGCCTCTAATCACTGCACCTGATGAGTTAAGTGATGACGTCACTCTTCTGCTCTATATAAAACCGGGAGCAAGCGAGGGCTTTACCATTCTGGCGAATTGCCCGATGATGCTGGAAGTATTTACCAGCGAAACGTCGTACTCAAACTGTAAATGTGGATTAACTCTTCAACACACCGGTGGGCTGAAGTAGTGAATTATTTGTCTTTTGTCAACGTGACACTTTTCTTTGCTGATTGGCCGTGTCGGGTGGTGGAGGGTTACGACACATTTATAAATAAACGCGATCTAACCCAAAAACCTTTATTATGAATATTAACCTCATCTTAATTTTCATATTTACTTTAGCGTGTACAGTACAGCACTAGACATTACACTAAAAACATAATAATCATATTTTACATTTAAATAAATACTTCCCGCTCCATGGTTGGGTTAATGTAGAGTAACATAAAACAAAATGAGCAGTTGTCGTATTACAAATCAAACCCTATTTGTCTTATGCCTCAGAGTTTGTGGATTTCGTATTTGCCGATTGTGCCAGGGACCCTTGTTGACTCCAGTATGAAGGAGCGTAGATGGCTCGATTTTTTTTCCCCCAAAAGTATTTAATCAACAAAACGATATCAGGTACAGAGGATGTGAAAGGGGGTTGACACCAGTACAAACACACGTTACGAATTACAGTTCAATGGAAACCTGTCTAAACTGCATGTTTAAATACAATCGACAACCCCAGTCTTCCTAAGCTCTGATACCCCTGTAGGAAAAAAGGGAGGGGGGGAAGTGCCTAAATGTCCTAATGAATACTCTTAAGAATCAATGTCCACTGGAGGAGAGGTCGTGAAAGGGTTCCATGGTTGGTGGTAAGCTTCTTAGTTTGGCACTTAGATGCTCTAGTGGCAAATTTTGAAAGTTTATTGGCCCATTCCTGCACTGTTGGGGGAGCATGCTCTTTGCAGTTGGCTGTAATGGTGCGTTTTGCCATAACATTGAACATTTGGAATACAGTAATGTATTTGCCCCCCTGGAAAGGCCTTGAGGTTTCAACCTCAATAGGGATGTGTCTGGTGAGGGTGAGACGCTCGTTTTGTGAATGTGGTTAAAGTAGCAAGTGTTGATTTGAAAAAAACTTGTTAATGTCTGGACATTCCCAAAAGGCATGCCTGTATGTTTGAGGGGTATCCGGGGGGCATCGTGGGCAGTTGGAGGTTTGGATGACAAATGTTGACGAAATACATTTCTGTGAAATAAAACGTTTATACCAAAGTGACACATTTTTTAAAGATCATCAACAAACTATCCATCACAATTATAAACTAACAATCAGTGTAGTTATTTAAAACATTAAGTACCGTTTATATGCCATTATTTCTGCATCTATTCAGTTTTTTCATAAATCCACTGCATATGATTAAAACTTCTCCCCAACAGTCTGCACATAACAATAGCCCCTATGTCATAAAGCAGGAGTTTTTGCTCACCTCTGGGATTTACATCAAGACTTATATTATCTTTCACCACTGCAAGGTTTTGGAAGTGTTATTTGGAAAATATATTCCCCACTTTCATTCTTCTGAACGTTGCTCAACGTTATTGTTGCTTTGCCCTTAAGGATGTATCCAGACCATGCAGTATTCTTTCGAGCAGATCATAGGTGTTCAAGGTAACCAAGGACCAAAGCAAAGAACATTTTTTTTATTTACTCATTAACGGTCTTTGAAATGTGAATTGTGGTATAAAATATTAAGTGCACCGTTAAAGACACGCAAAATAATGCACGTGCTAAAACTAATCATAGTAATTGTCAATGTTTTACTTTAAGAAAAACGTGAGCATCCACCAGCAATGTTGGTAATGCTCGTCATTGAAAATGGATAGATATATGGCTACAGAGCACCATTCCTGAGTAGATATTAAGGATCATGTTCAGGAAATGTACAAATTAAATTAGAAAACGAGATGACTCAGATGTTAGTGTTGAGTTAACACCACTCAGATCCTGGCTTTTAATGCCTTTAACTAAATCTAGGTTCTCAAGGTAGTGAGTTTATGGTCGCAACCTAGAGATCAATGATTGCACTAAAATATCTATATAAAGACCTTAATCTGCATGTCTCAAAAACCTCGAGGGTACTTCTCGACATGGTAAAAATCTGAAATTAGGCACAAAGGTAGCTTTGAGGACAAATGACAGGAAATATGAGAATCTGAGATTTTTCATTTGAAGGCCCCATAAAAGTACCCCCTAAAAATGTTTGTCATTCAGAAACCGTTCAAAATATAAGATTGCGGTTTTTTTCGTTTGATAGAGCATTAAACATCAAATAACATTTAATCGAGAACCATTGTTTCATCTTTTATTGTTTTTTACATATTTCGGACACATGATGTTCAAATTTGAATACTAAAACAGTAAAAGATAGGAGCTTCCCCTCGTAGTATTAAGAAAGCACCCTTGCTGGTCATTGACCACAGAAATACATTCATTCAGAAACTGTGGATTGGCTTAATACATGTAAGTATGGATAAAAGGTGAACATCACAATTGGGAATGAAATATGACTCCATCCACAGCAGGGTGGTTGCTTATGCAGAGAAATGGATGAGCCAAATGCCAAAACTTTACACACCACCCTGCTCATAAACACCACAGTTATGTCAGAAGAGACCCGTGGAGTGATATAAACTTACCTTAAAGAGTTGCAGCCATTCATTAAATTGGTCTAATTTAGATCGTTGTTCTGGCACGTAGCTGAAGACTGAATTTCATCACAATTCTCATCCATTTCATAAGCGCTCTTCCTGTAACGGTTCACATTGAAAGCCATGAGGTACTGTATGTATTAAATAAGGTACATTTGGGACAGTTTTTAATTACCGATGTGAAATGGCCATTGCTCAATGGAATAAAATGTGCGATGAAACACATTTATTTGCATGTTTACCAAAGTATGCAGTTTGAACATGAATGGGGCACGCACTATCATGTAATAAACATGGATACAACAAAATATGAATATAGATTTGTAACCCTTTCCAACATTTTCTGCTGGATGAGGACCTCCACACAAAGTGGGGGTCGTGTGAGTTAATTGACCATACTTCACCAGGCTAGTCGGTGCAGGTTAGTGAAGGCTTCCAGTATATAGATGTGGGAGTGTGGAAATGGATGTTGCTGCACTGCCCTCTGCTGCAAATCACGCAGCACTCCAGTTTCTTCTAAAGAACCTGCTGTGGTGGGTGCTCTTTCAAGCACCATCCACCATGCTCAACACTACTTCGCTTCTGAGATCAGATGCATCCAAGGCAATTGGTTAAAGACCAGAAATAGATTAAAAGCCTTGATATCGACCCTGAAGGTCTACATTTGGATTTCATATTGAACCTTTTCTTTATGAAACACCAATTAAGAGCTCTCAAATAACTTTGGGTGGCTACACATCAGCACACACCTTAGCTATATAAAATAACAGGGAAAACAAAGTGCACGCTGACCAAGCATAACAAAGACTGCACTGATTGAGTGTGCTAGAATTAGAAAGTGTTTCCCGGTCAAAAATATTCCCCTGCAGCACCGGATAAGTGAGGCTAAGATGCTTGCCGTTATGGATAAGTATGATTTGTGGGTAGTTTTGAAGTGGTCAGCGTCATGTGGCTGCTAGCCATATAAAATTAATTTGTGGTCAATATGTTGCCCACAGGCCGTAAGTTCCTCACCGCTGTCCTAAAAGAAACTGATGCTACGTCTCTGCGATTACAAACGAGACGCAAGCTGCGCTGTTCCTGGAATTGATTGGCTTGGTTCTTCTCCCAAGATTGACTTGGATTAAACCCCTTCCCTGCCATCCGTAGCATGGCTGGAAGGCAACAATCCATAAAAAAATATATAAAGAACTTATGTTTGGGTTGTCTCAATGTTTTGAAAATGTTTACTATGAAGTCACCACTGTTTCCATCCTAGCTAAAGCAGGTCGAGTGGCCCGATCACAGCTTTCTTGACCTCGTGCCCCACTGCCGTGGGAACCCCGACTTAACCCACTTTTCCAGTTCCCAAACATAGGTCAGTCCACTATTAAATAAATATGGGAATGCGGTGTATTGTTTCCCTATATGAAGCTCTGTGAAGTGGCTAAATCTGCCTTTTTATGCGAGTTCCTTGCTATCACTTGTATTTACTGACACCATCTGGTCAAATAGTTACAAAAATGAAACATGGAGAAAAATATTCACCTTGTTTATAATGGCAATGGAAATATTGTTAACTACAAGGACAAGGAACAACAGCGGACCGAGGGGTAGAAGGAGTAGTCTGGATATCTGTGGAAACAATAAAAGCAGCCACCTTGAGACATACAACAATGTAATCGGTTTAAACAGTTTTAAAATACAACACTACAATTGATACACAGTGATACCTCTGTCAACAAATCATCTGGGAAACTAATTCCTTTATAATGAAGTCAACCGTGCAGGGCCCCTTCTGCCCTATTTCTGCAAAAAGAATGAAAAAAATATCTTCAGAAATAATGCACAGTGATTTAAGAGTAAAAGGTTGAATGCTGTGCGTGCACATCACTTTTGGACATCTGTGAAGAGCTTTATAGATCATTGGATTCCTCCAGGATAAATTAATATTCTGATTCTGTGTCAGCAGCCAGTGAAGAGCTGTGCAAGTCTGTCTCACTTGGACCAGTCATCAGCAAGTTTCACCAGTCTTCCCTCATCCCGCTAGCTAGTGGTAGAGCTCAAATTTAAATTTAAAGCTTTCGTGACTGCAGGGATTCATCTTCTGGGTTCTTTCGGTAAAGTCACGTAGAATGGAGATAAAATAATAATAAAAATAATAATAACAGAATAAAATTCTCACGACGTTTCGGCCACAACACAAGTAGCCTTCCTCAGGTGAAGAAACAGGACTGTCCGGAAGACAGCGCTTGAGTGAACCCTGCCAAGCTTGGAAGCGTCTTTTAAGCTGTGTGGGAGGAACAGAGCACCTTGACAAAGGAGTTTTACATATACATTAGCATGTAACTGGGGGATTAGCATGATGTTAGTGTGAGGGATTAGCACCACGGAGAGCGATGAGCTTTGTTCAGACGGACGAGTCCATCTACACTATGTATTATTCTACTAACCCTACTGTGTACCACACTGCTGTATATTCACTATACAATTACGGTACTATATATTGCCTTATGAAGTATGTTAAACATTACACTTTCGATTTAAAGCTTTCGTGACTGCAGGGATTTATCCTCTTGGTTCTTTCAGTAAAGTCACGTAGAATGGAAATAAAATAATAAAAATAAATCATAATAAAATAAGATTCTCACGACGTTTCGGCCACGAAACAAGTAGCCTTCTTCAGGTGAATAAACAGGACTGTCCAGAAGACAGCGCTCGAGTGAACATTGCCAAGCCTGGACCGCGTCTTTTTAAGCTGTGTGGGCGGAATTAACATATGAATGAGCATGTTACCAGCACCAGCACCACCAGATCGGGGGAGGGTGGCGACTGGTACACAGAAAAACGGAAATAAAAAAGGAATAGGATAGGTGCACTGCTCTGTCCTGTATTGCGTTAATAACTATGCTATAAACTGGACTACTATACAATGTAATATTATACCTTCAATCTAAACTACATGGTATAATATCATATCCATAGACAAAAAATTCACCTTTGAATTATACAATGCGTTACTCTACACTGCCCTATACTTTAGACTATAAAATATTAGACTTGTAATTTTACACTGTCTTATTTTATCAACCCCACTATATGCCACACTGCTGTATATTCACTATACAATTACGATAACTATATATTGCCATATGAATTGTGTTATTCATATTTGGAAAGGAAAATGCAGATCATAAAGAGGAGGGGTAGAGGCGGGAAAGATGAAAAGTGAAGTGACCCATTCGTTGGGGTTGGTGCCGTGCACCTTCAGGACCATTTTAAACCAAGCAGACGAAGTGGAGGCGACTGTGCAGCAATGTTTTCCTATTGTACCCCCTTCTCTGAAGTCCGGAAACGCATCCCCTATGCCTCAGATGTTATACCTAACTCTGGTAACGACGTTTCTGATAACAAAGTGACGTCATGGAATGCATTTACTTCGTTAACCGAGGTATTACTATACACACACTATGTATTAACAGATTATAAGCTGCATGCACACAGGTAAGTCTTAGCTCTCCGATTTCTTTTATTTGCCAATCTTAAGACTCCCTAGGGAAGGAGTTCTGAAATCCTATTTTAATATGACCAAAACACATGCGATGAGTAGAAATTTTAACTATCGATAGTGTAGTCAATAGTATGATGAGAACTGTAGAGTAGCTATAGTTTTCTTTAAGGAAGACTCCAAATTTGAATTATTGAAATCCAATAGCATTGTTTAACAAATACAGATTCGATTGCAGGGCCTTCGGCCCTCTATAAAATTAAGAATTAAATTTCGCCAGCAAGCGTACAACATTTCTAAATTAATTATCAACAATGTTGTTTCCAAAAGTAACCAGCGAGCGCGAACAAATTACGCCGTTGATTTTTTTTATTCGCTTACAAGTTACTGGCTAGTTAGGGATACCTCACAAAATGGACAACTGGTTAACATTGATGTCCATTAGTCATACATTTATTTCTCAGAGCCGTGATGGGTCAGGCAAGCGAGGGTAATCGGTTGAAACACAATTCTACAAGAGGGCTAATAGTAGCCAGAGAAGGTTGCATTCTTTTTAAACGAATCTAGACAGAATATATTCAAACCTACGAACATAAATGTACAAAAGACACTTAAATTGACGACTTGGTTAAGTTTGACTTTTAAACGCTTATCTTAACACTTGTTTTCGATAGAAAGTAAAATAAACATTGAGTGAACCTCTAGGTGGGGGGAGGGGGTAACGCGCAAAACGATTCTGTGATATTTCCACGAATGTTAGTACAGTAGCATTTGTCCCGCCAAAATACTGTACACGTGAGTTTTACTCAAACTTGCCGCTACCAAAAACTGCAGCCCTTAAGCGTCGGGCACAAAGAGAAGACTACATACCTGATATATAAAATCTATATGTAACACAACAATAATCTATGCATAGTCAAGAGCTTACTTACCGACCGCTGTTGTTTGCGAGGGCTGGCAATTTGCGATGGCGGCCCCGCCCGCCGATCCTCGGGTGTGGGTGGGGTGGCTCACACCACGCCCGGCCGCCTTTGTCTCCCCGGTGGCGATGTTTACACACCGTACTCATTTGATGCCGAGTCGACCTCGGAGTGTCCCAGGACCACCTCGTACAATCGTCACCCGTGTTGGCCGTGAGCGGGAGTCGCGAGTAGCTCCCCACGCGCCGCCATGACAGTGCCGCCACCAACACCACGTGGCCCCCACCTGGGTCACGTGCTCAGGCGGCACGCGCAGCACAGGAGAGTGAGAATCTGACGGCTGGGCGCAGGGCACGTGGTAATACGATCCCATTGTTGTAGCGTAGCGGCCCTTGCCAACACGGGACGCGTTTGGTTGATCGGCCTCCGCTTGTTTCGGGAACATGTTCTCGTGTTGCGAACAAATTGAGCGTTATAGCAGACTCTCGTGAAGGAGAACGCTCGTTAAGCGAGACGCGCCTGTGGTTGGGAAACGAAACGACGTGAATGCAAATGTTGCAATGAAACCACAAATATACAAATGAGCGATCAAATCACAGCATCCGTGAGAGATGGTGTGTGCAAGATGAGTTTGTTGAAGTTGAACTGCCGGCTCCACTCAATTTCCAAAGTGTCTTTCCACTTGGGCGAAGACTCACCACCTCAGCTGCCTGGACGCACACTTCGCAAGCAATTTCCCTGATTTCGACGTGAAAAGGTGTCACTAGGCACGAAACCCATTTCAATGCCCAGCCTAAAACAATGGATGTGACCGCGGCTGAAACGAAACAACTCGTTGAAATGTCACGTGATTAGTTGTTTTTTTCTCACGGAAAAGAGAGAATCCGCAAACCCCGACATCTTAACGCGTGCCTCGAAACCGATGGTGCCCTTTGCAAGCATGTAGTGTACACGTGAGTGAGCGCACTGACTTTGGATGTGACCGCTGAAGGTGGGATGTGCAATGTCAGCCACACCGCAAGATTTTGAGAAGCTGTGTCGCATGCCTCAAGCAACACGCGTCTCGACACTCGACCTGGTGAGTCCAAATTATTGCTTCATTTCTTTATATAAAAAATAATATTTGTTGTTCTATAATACCGACACAAAATTAACGTACAGAATATCCTGTCACTTGAAATGTTTTTAATTATGGTTATTGTCAGTTTAATAGGAATTTTGTATTCAAATAGGGTCATATTGCAAAATTGTTTTGAAAGTGCTGCTATACAGTGCGGTTAAATTGCAATCTTCAGAATCGAATATTAGTGTAATTGATTAATTGCAAATATTGGAGGTTATTCCACACAATCAAAATATTCAAGTTGATCTGTGCAGAGTCCCAAAGACGCCAAGCGTCCAGCAACAAACAGCACCATCAAATGTCAAAGGAATGAGACCCACGTGAGTATTGAACACATCGAACACAGAGCCTAGGACGAGAGTGGGCGGGGCAGAAGTGGTGGTTACATCGAGTTTCCCCCTCCCAAAGGAATGTGGAATATTGACCACCTTGCTGAGAGCTGCATACAGAATGGCATTGCACCCCATGCTCGTTTGGAGCAGCAAGACTCAGATTTTTCAGTTTATGCCAAAACACACTTTCATTTACAAAAGCAAACCTTACAGCTCATTTGCGAGTCCACTGCTGTACAAGGGCCTCCACACACCGTGTCGGGCATTTTTGTTGTTCGACCATACTTTACCATGCTGCTCGGTATGGGTTGGGGGGGGGGGTACAGGATCTGTTCAGATGTCACCGATGTCAGCCATGGCCAGGAATCAAACTCAGATGGCGCAGTGCATGAACCACTGCATCATCACTCCATCCATTATCTTGGATCCAGCTAAAGGTAAAAACAATTGCTGTAACATTTTTTTGTTGCAGCAGGAAACCATGAATAGCGAATACAGTACTATAAAGACAAAATCGGTAGCACACGGATACCTTGAGTTTGCTATATCGCAGGTGAGTTCGTTGTCACATTGTGTTTGATATGCCGTTATGTGACACGCACTTGCGAGATCATATGGATTTGTTTTACTGAAATCATGTGTTTTCATGGTGAATTCCTGATTTAGACCCCACCCCGCCCTCAAGCTGGGCGATGGGTCTTCATCTTCTTTCGCATGGCTAATGTAGACGCAGAGCAACAACTGCAATCTCA